GTAGGAATTAAAAATGAAATCGGCGCCGACGGCCGGGTAGCCGTATTTAAGAGGGGAGGAGTGTTATGTTCTATCCCCCCCTTATTTCTTTTATTTTTGTTTCTCCTTGTTTATTTAGTGTTTATAACCATTATTGATTATTTTCGTATATATCTTGTATTGGTAAATTCGTACCACAAATTATTCAAGATATTTTATATACTTTGTTTTATCACCCTGCTAATATGGTTGGTCAACTAAGATCCCAAACTAATCAACCGCAGGATGGGGAGCCTAGTCAGCCCCCACCGAATTTGCTTACACCAGACAATTCGGTTAACCTCCAAACAGATGGAGCTGCAGCAATCGCACTTGCAATACAACAGATTTCCCAGCAAATGGAAACAATGTCAACGCGTATGCTAAATTTGGAGTCTAGAAGACGATCACCATCGGCAAGAAGCACATTCACGTCCACCCCATACATGGATCAGCCCAGACGTAGCAGACCCGCATCGCCCACACCATTACCAGCGATTAAACTGCCGTTAACCATGGAAGAAAGGGTGGCCAAACTGTCAAGAGTCTGGACAGGGGTATCTACTGACCTCCTCGAACCACGTTGCAAAGCCAGTGAACGCGATCGCCACGAACTCAAGCACCTTAAAGAAGTGGTGGACCTGATCTCGGTAAACACGGAGCCAGGCATCGTCGACTCAATAACAAGAAGAGTCCGCATACTAGGCCTAGCAATACATTGGGGCTGGGACACAGCCCGACTCAATGACACATCCTACCAGGAAAAATTTCTAGACTCCGAAGAAATCAAAGTAGCCAAAGAGCCCTTTCGGAGCAGGGGCCGCGCAGGCCCCTCTACGTCTTACAGGCGGCGCCCGAAAAGGAAGGAAGCGCCCACCACCAGGGGCAAGAAAAGGAAATAGCGATGATAACAATAGCCCTAATCTATTTCTTCCCTCTACGCTACACACTAACCCCCCCCCCCAATACCCAAAGGCCCTTATTAGGGCCACCTAATACCCAACAGCCCTTTTTAGGGCTACCTACGTATGAATCCATGGGGAGCATACTACCGGACAACGGCTCACCTGTCCGAAGAGGAGACACAGTTCAGTTCCCAGATTGGCTAAAAAGGGTAAATATTTACCTTAAGGAACTGAGGCATCAGCTGTTTTCTCCTGATGAAGGTATTAGCTCAGACGACGAAAATAACAATAATCATCCTTCCCCATCAGTCCCTGAGCAAATACCCGCCAATCATCCTGCTGGATCGAACTCCGATCTCCCATCGTTTCGTTCCGAAGATTCAGGAATCCCCGAATAGTGGGTACCGAATACATCCACCGTAACTTGAGAATCCAGCAGTGACAGCAATCTCGAAGCAACATCTATCATCTCCGGACTTGAAGACGCAATCTTCAGCGATGGAGGCGATTCTGGTATGCCCCAGGTAGGGTCGACGGCGATTCCCAACCTCCCAGGAATCCTCAATGGAATTACTGGAGTGAATTCCCATGCGACTTTTACAGATGAACAACTAAGAGATAGCCCACAGCTTGATATCAGCAGGGCAAGGCTGACTCCCGGCCCGTTAATGTCAAACTTCACCAGACGCGTTGCCGCCCGTGGCTTTAGACCCAGACTAGATCCCTTAAAAATTAACAATAATGAAGGACACTACTTCACACATAGGAATAGCCACGCAATCTCGGAACGATATTATCAAATCGTCCAACAGATGATCGCCGCCGATATCGTTATAGAAACCGACAGCAATCAAATATGTTCGCCTCTATACGTTATCCCCAAGGCAAACGGCACGCCCAGAGTCATCAGTGACTTTTCCGAGACATCTAAGAATTTCCTCCACTACCCATTCAAACTGAAATCCATCCCGTTGATGTCCGTTAAACTAAACGAAGCAAAATACGCTTGCAAAATAGATATCAAATCGGCGTTCTTTTCAATACCACTAGCCGAACAAGTGCGCAAGTTCTTCGGATTCAAAATACACGGAACATACTACGCATATAAGGTACTTCCAATGGGTGCATCGTTTAGCCCATACTGTCTCCAATCTATCATCCTAGACGCATGTGCAAAAACTATAAGACGGGCTAATTACAACGTCTACCTGGATGACATACTAATATACGGGGATAATGAAAACGATGTTAAGTGGTCAACTAGATCGCTCAGATGCATCCTGGAAGGATGGGGTTTAGAAATATCCCAGGAGAAGTCCGTCTTAGACCCCACACCGTTCATAACATACCTAGGAGTCCCCATCAACCTGGAGTCCAAAACGCTTAACGCCGATAATACAACCAGGAGGAGACTAACCAGATGTTTGTCCATTTTCAGAAGACACTCGTACCAGCATCTAGAAATAGGGCGTATCCTGGCTGCTAAAGTGTTAGGGGTGGTGAACCACTTTGCATACACAATTACCGGTATGTCCAGGCTATTTTCACCGTACTACATCACCCTAATGGAAGGTCAGCTAGCACCGCTAGTCGACACCTACCTAGCATTCAGGAAAGCAGAAGTAATAATAACTGCAATGGAACGCCCCCTGAAGATTCGCTATACGGCTACTAACCCAGTCTATACCGACGCTTCAGATTCACACATTGGTATACCCTTCTGGGGCTACCAGGATATGTCCGTCTCCTACACAGAAGCCGCTCTCTTACTCAACGTACCAACACATGCTATACAGCATATCAACGCTAAGGAAGTACTAGCAGTAGGAATCGGAACACTCCTAGCCATTAACAAGGATGGACAAGTACCAATCATCTATACCGACTCCACGGTAGCGTACTATTCATTACGAAAAGGAGGTTCTAGATCACCATCATTGGAAATAGTCATAACAAGCATACTATTCAAACTAGAACTCCAAGATTTCACCGCACTCTCACAGAACATTCGATGGATGCCTACGGACGAAAATCCAGCAGATGAGCCATCAAGATTATGGGTCGGCGACACAAGCAACAGAGACCTCTTTGAAGGATCACCCCTCACAGGAAATCTGATGCTACACGATGAAGAAACCTCCCTGTTTGGATACGATTCAACGGTGAGCACCCCATCATTAATATCAAACCTATCCTTGGGTTCAACGACAATCACTGCGAACCTAGAACAACTGAGTATACATAGCTCAGACCTATAAAACAAGGCAAACAACCTCAAATCAAAACAAAATACAATAATGAACACAAATAGAACGATTCATCCGCGCATATTTATTTGTATAAATATATTATTATTTAGTGTTTATAACCATTTTTGATTATTTTCGTATATATCTTGTATTGGTAAATTCGTACCACAAATTATTCAAGATATTTTATATACTTTGTTTTGATTTAAGAAATAAAAGCCTTGGGATGCTAAAGCCATAAAGGCTAAGGCATCCGACTGTATCCACATTCCCCAGGTAGGGGAAATGTTACCAGGATACGAGTCGATGATTCAATTAAAAATATTTGGCCAAAATCGTATTGAAAATATGATAGATTCGATGCGCAAAATATCAATTCGAACAGCATAATTCTAAAGTCAAATCAAATAGAGAAATATTGAAAATATTGATCAACTCTATATGTTTTCTTGGAATTCAGGAGCTCGTATTCCGTGGTGATGATGAATCTTCTAATTCAGTAAAGGAAATTATATTGTATTAATTTATGCTCGCAGAAAAAAATTTACTATTGAAACATTTTAGAAATAGTGCAGTTTTTATTGGACTATCATGCAATATTCAAAATGATTTGATTAATTCTATTTCATATGTCTTACACCAAAAAATATTAAATTCGTCGAATGGTTAGATATTAGTAAATTCCAAATAATCAATTCCCCAAAATCTTTATTAGATAATTTGAACGACACTTTTATTCTCAATTTTTCGACTTACACAAGCTGGAAACCGAATTAAAGGTAGTATTTCGGGATGTTGAATTTAGAAAGAAAAAGAATGTTAATGAAATACTTGAATGTTTAATATGCACCAATTTGATGAAAAAAGAGTTTTTTAAATTATGCAAAATCATCTTAACTTTGGCTTTAACAACAGCAAGTGCAGAACGGAGTTTTTCATCTTTAAAGAGAATCAAATCTTATTGCAGAAACAGGATGAGCCAAAATCGATTATCGAATCTATCTTTGATTTCGATTGAAAAAAAAATTATTAAAAAAATTAAAATCTAGCGATAACTTTTATAATGCAGTACTTGATCATTTTACTCAAAAAAAAGACGAATACCACTTATTTATAAATATTAATGTTTTTATGGTTTGAGTTTGACTAAAATATAAAATATTTATTGCTTCCCTAGTAGTAAACTTGACGCTTCGTCACTGATATATTCATATATATATTTCAACAATATCAATAATAACTATATATGTATAATTTCCACATTACTACACCCACAACACTTGGTAATTTTGGATATGAAGCTATCGCGTTTTATAATCCATAGGAAGAAAGTTCTTAAATCCGACTATCCTATAGAATACTGATATATCTGTGCTAGAATATTGGCTTATAAATTTGCAGATCAAAATTTTTATCAATTTATGGTTCTATGCAGATTTCATAAAACCTTTTTTATAAAATTTATATCTCATATTTTTTTTACTATTGTTTTTAAATTGTATTTTAATATAGTTTTTATTTATGTTATGTTATATAATTTTATATAAATTAAATATATTATTTAAAAACAAGTAAAAGTTTAAAATTGAACATTATTTTCTTCTTTTTATATATTATTTCTATTGCATATTAATTTTTTTTAAAAATGGTTTAATTTAGAAATTAAATTCAATAGTAATGATATCAAAGTACAAAAAATATTTTTAAAAAGGTGACTCGTATTATCCCAGAGTGGAGTGAATGCTTAAAAAAATTGCACCAGCAGATTTATTTTTAAAAAAAGAAGATAATAAATCGATTCTTCCAAATCATATGGTTTTCTGTTTATATGCCATTTTAGCTTTTTTTAAAAAAGATTTCGACCTAAAAACGATATATAATAAATGCTTCGTAGCCTTTTCCAGAAATCAATCCTATTGCCATGCTTGATTAAAGGACAGAATTCCTTTGTTAAGCCAAGGAAATTTTGTTTTATATATTTAGTTTATTAATTTAATTATTATTAGTTATTAGTAAATATTCCACTCATGTTTTGACTGATGAAGAATTTGATGAAAAATATATAAGTTATTTTAGCAAACCTAATATTGACAACTGGGAAATAAGACATGGAATCAATGATATCATTGTAAAATTATATTGCCAATTATTGTTTTTATGGGTTTTTATATAATATTCTGTTAGCAATTTATAATATGCCTAATTATTTTTAATCATGGTAAGAGTTTTATGGAGGATTAAAATTAATTTTATTTTTTACATTATTCTCTCATCACAATTGGTCTTAACATGAATAGAACATTTTAATATCTAAAAATCTATTAAAATGTTACAAAATGATTAAAATTAGAAATCTACCTGATCTAATTTTTTTTATTAGTATTGGACTGGCTCAAACTTTTTAAAAAAATTACCCTGCTAAGATTATAAATTTAATTATTTAAATGTATTATATTTAACATTTGAATAAATATAATTAATAAATAGTATCCAATATTTTATTGACATCTGTTCCAAAATATTTAACCAGTCAAAAAAATCTAAATAATCCTTTTAAAATCAATCTTACAACTTTAAACATTTATTTCTTGCATTTTGTTATAGATTATAACTAGATCATGAAAATTTTAAATGGGTTCTGGTTTCTACCAATTAAATATTTTTTAATGTACAAATTTTTTTTATATTTAATCACCTTAAGGGATGATATATTATTTTCAGATGAGAGCCAAATTTTATATTTTCCTGCTTTTACTTTTTAGAATTCCTAATCCTATAAACAGTATAAAAAAAATTAAAATATTCTCAGTTTTGAACTCTTTCTTTATGTTTAAAATTTTAGTTTCCCTGAGAAACTTTAAATCGAGATATGACTGTATAATAGGATTTTCTTGATTTATAAATCCCTTTAGATTTTTTATAATTCGATAAAATTATTTTTTAGCACTCAGATGTAATACCAGAACCAAAAGTATTAATAGCTATACTTAAAGCATGTAGAAGATTAAACGATTATGCTCTAACTACTAGAATTTTAGAAGCAGTCAAAGTAATTCATGAAAGTTTTAACTTGTTTTTAATATTTCATTTATATAGTACAAATGTGGCAGAAAAGTGGATGAAATTTATTTGTATCTAATACAAGAAATAAGACCCACAATTGATGAATTAGGAATTAGTACACCAGAAGAATTAGGATTTGATAAACCTGAGTTTCTAGTGGAAGAGCCTCAATATCAATAAAATTGTATTAATATATCTTTTTTTGCTTGATTTGTAGTTATGATTTATACATTAATATAATTTATTAAACTTACTACTGGATTATACCCTTGTTTTCTAATTTTATGTTACTGCATTAATGATTATTCTTATTACTAATGAAAATAGCCATTTTAATAAATAGAGCACAATGATAAGATATCTAAAAAATGAACAGATTTACATTCAAAAATAAACAACATCGTTTTTCAAATATATAATATTTTGATTAAAAATTTAATATATTTTTTTCAGTTGTTTATCTAAGAATGACTCCATTTTATATCGTAACTTATAAGGCCATCGAATTATAAACTAGTGGCCATGGTTTGATCCTAATCAAGAATGTTTGTAATTGTTTTTTGCTTTTCTGGAATTTTTGGTCATATTGCATGCTTTTCCCTAAATTTAAGTTATTTGTTGTATTTTGTGTCGTTGGAGTGACAGAATCATGGAGAATTTTATATGATCTAAGGTTCCTTACATATGAAATCGATAAAATGAGATAAAATAGTATTAGCTGCAAATTATTTAATTGACTTAGGAACACTGGATTTAATACCCCTTTTCTTAATTATAAGACCTTTACTTTTATTTTTCAAAATAATAGTTTAAGTTTGGGGTTCAATTCCCCAATATTTAACTTTTTTTGAAATCCATTTCTTTCTATGTTATTCAAGATTTTCTAAGACGACATATTACTAGATGTTTTATTATAATGTTGTGATATATAAAGTCATGAGTAATTTAAAATGTACATTTAGCTAAGAGAAATCGACAATAATAATAAAAACATATCAACATATAATTAGTAAAGCACAACTGAATGAAGTGTTCAGGTGGGGTAATAGGGAAGGGGGTGGTAGTGGGCTATGCTTGTTTTGTGGTTTCGATCAATGTTTATTCAAAGATGGTAAATCTTACTTGAAGATTTTCTAAGTCTTCAGGGAGCCAATTATGCTCGGTTTGTTGGCGGGGTACAGTTCCCTCTAACCACATTTAAATCTATAGGGTTTCCCTACTAACCTGCTATGTTATCTTCCGAGGTAGTCTTTGCTTACAGTAAAGGTTGGATAGTAAGGTTTTTTTGTAATAAGAAATATAGCATCATATTAAATTAATATATTTATATAAGTAGTATTGTTAAACGGCTTTGGTCGCTTTTTAAGACGACTAACTCATTATATTCGCCAAAAATATTAACTAAGCCTAGAAATTTTGCTCATAGGTGTCAAATAGGTTTGGACATTATTAGCGAAATCTCAAGGCTTATGGAGTAATATTTTAGATATCTTGATTTAGCTGTTTTTAAAATCGGCGAAATCGAGCAACATTACTAAATTCAAGCTTGTAATACGCAAAATTATAAAGTAATTAGATAGAGGTCTGCGGCCCGAGATTTTTGCATAGCCCAGCAAGTTAAATTTTTTATCCGGCCGGTTAAAATTTCTTTAGAGTTTACCCTTCCCGAACTTTACGAAATGTCAAGTCCTAAAGGGGTTGTTATACTTTCCATTTTTTGTAATAGAATAAATATTTGTCTATAGGTAGACGAAAAATGAGCTGGAATCTTTCATAATATCGATAAATGCCCAAGAAATAGTCTTTCTCTCATAACATTACAATCTTTTACATTCGAAAAAAGATCGTTTGTTTTTGTAAATTTTTTTATAGATTTTATAAATAAGGATCTTATTTTATAAAAATTTTTTATAGATTTTATAAATAAGGATCTTATTTTATAAAATTTTTTTATAGATTTTATAAATAAGGTTCTTATTTTATAAAATTTTCTCATTAATCAGATCAAAGGATTTACCTTTATATAATAAATGAACCAAATTAACTAAAAAAGGTGTAAAAATCTAAGAATAAAATATTACCGATTCTACAATAAAATGATACTAACTTTGTTAATTAAAATAAGGCATAATTAAGAAGGAATGCAAAAAAAAATCATTTTCAAAATATTTTTGTCAAGAAGGGTAAGATTTTTTGTTTTATTATTTGTCAAATCATAGGATTAAAAATAAATTTGTAATTTTGATGAATCATCGCTATATAAATTAATATTGTATTTGGATGAGTCATCATTGATTTAGAAATAAATTTATTTTATTTTATTATTAATAAATATATATTTATTTTTGTGAATCTATAAAAGACAAAAAAAAAGGGGGAAAATTATATAATTGGAATTTATTTTTATATTTTTTTTTTGGAATTTTATATTTGGAATTTTGGATTGTAAATTATATTTTTTTTTGACGCGTCTTTAAAAGTGGAAATAAATTAAATATATTTTAATTGAAGAATAATAAAGAGTTACCGCATTAAAAATCTAATTTATTGGGATATAAAATATTTGGGTGTATAAACATAAAAGTGGCACCCCAGACGTCGTGTACGGGAAAATATATTTTTATTTGGAATAACGTGGGAAAACTAATTAGTAGAAAAAGCGTTGTATATACGGAATAACGTTGAATATAGGAAAAACGTTGTATATACGGAATAACGTTGAAAATAAAAAAAGCGTTGTATATACGGAATAACGTTGAAAATAAGAAAAACGTTGTATATACGGAATAACGTTGAAAATAAAAAAAGCGTTGTATATACGGAATAACGTTGAATATAGGAAAAACGTTGTATATACGGAATAACGTTGAAAATAAAAAAAGCGTTGTATATACTGAATAACGTTGAAAATAAGAAAAACGTTGTATATACGGAATAACGTTGCAAATAAAAAAAGCGTTGTATATACGGAATAACGTTGAAAATAAGAAAAACGTTGTATATACGGAATAACGTTGAAAATAAAAAAAGCGTTGTATATACGGAATAACGTTGCAAATAAAAAAAGCGTTGTATATACGGAATAACGTTGAAAATAAGAAAAACGTTGTATATACGGAATAACGTTGAAAATAAAAAAAGCGTTGTATATACGGAATAACGTTGCAAATAAAAAAAGCGTTGTATACACGGAATAACGTTGCAAATAAAAAAGCGTTGTATATACGGAATAACGTTGAAAATAAGAAAAACGTTGTATATACGGAATAACGTTGAAAATAAAAAAAGCGTTGTATATACGGAATAACGTTGAATATAGGAAAAACGTTGTATATACGGAATAACGTTGAAAATAAAAAAAGCGTTGTATATACTGAATAACGTTGAAAATAAGAAAAACGTTGTATATACGGAATAACGTTGCAAATAAAAAAAGCGTTGTATATACGGAATAACGTTGAAAATAAGAAAAACGTTGTATATACGGAATAACGTTGAAAATAAAAAAAGCGTTGTATATACGGAATAACGTTGCAAATAAAAAAAGCGTTGTATATATGGAATAACGTTGAAAATAAGAAAAACGTTGTATATACGGAATAACGTTGAAAATAAAAAAAGCGTTGTATATACGGAATAACGTTGCAAATAAAAAAAGCGTTGTATACACGGAATAACGTTGAAAATAAGAAAAATGTTGTATATACGGAATAACGTTGAAAATAAAAAAAGCGTTGTATATACGGAATAACGTTGAAAATAAGAAAAACGTTGTATATACGGAATAACGTTGGAAATAAAAAAAGCGTTGTATATACGGAATAACGTTGAAAATAAGAAAAACGTTGTATATACGGAATAACGTTGAAAATAAAAAAAGCGTTGTATATACGGAATAACGTTGCAAATAAAAAAAAGCGTTGTATATACGGAATAACGTTGAAAATAAGAAAAACGTTGTATATACGGAATAACGTTGAAAATAAGAAAAACGTTGTATATACGGAATAACGTTGCAAATAAAAAAAGCGTTGTATATACGGAATAACGTTGAAAATAAAAAAAGCGTTGTATATACGGAATAACGTTGAAAATAAGAAAAACGTTGTATATACGGAATAACGTTGCAAATAAAAACAGCGTTGTATATACGGAATAACGTTGAAAATAAGAAAAACGTTGTATATACGGAATAACGTTGAAAATAAAAAAAGCGTTGTATATACGGAATAACGTTGAATATAAGAAAGACATTGTATATACGGAATAACGTTGAAAATAGGAAAAGCGTTGTATATACGGAATAACGTTGAAACCTAATTGATATGGAAAGCGTTGAAGGATTGTGGAACACGTTTTTTTTAAAAGTACACAGAGTGGCCAAATTACACGTAAATTCTGTCCATTTTTGCCAAAAAAAATTTTTTAAAAAAAACTCTTATCGTACGAAAGTACTGCCCAAATTTTACAAGTTGTGAATCTGTTACAAAATTTGCCCAAATTGTTGTCATATCTTTAAACTTATTAACTGTAGATGTACATGTGCATCATTGGATTGTTTACACTCTTAATAATATCTTCTCTGTTGACATTGCATAACCAAAATTTTTATTTTGAAATTGATCATAAACTTTTAATAGAGTGATGATGAAGAGTTTAAAATTTGTAAAATACTGGAAAATACAGTATAATATTTTTGGGGCATTGATTATACTAGTAATATGGATGTGTAGCTTAATATGAGGAAGAAGGATGAGGAGAAGTCAAAGTGTGAGAATAAAGGGGCAGACACTGACAATAGAAGGACATAATAGAGAAGAAGATGTTATGGGAAAGGTAACATGGTTCCCGGTGCAGGAGTTAATTAATGGGTGGACGGATAGCGAATTAGATGAATTAACTTATAGGCCTGAAAGGAGAGATTCATATACTAATCAGAGATTGGGGACATATAGGGGATCTATATAAAATTCTCAAGGAAGGAAAGGAGAAATGAGACCCAACTTTGATTCTAGAGTAAGGGGGAGAATGAATTAAAATTGCGGAAGACAGGGACATATGGTCAGGGATTGTCGGGAAGCAAAGTGTTTCGAATGCGGAAAATTTGGACATATATCCCCTTATTGTCCGGGTAAACAAGAGAAATTACGATGTGCCAGTTGTGGAAGATTTGGTCATAATAAAGAAGAATGTAATACGGGGAATTATAACACCAGATGGGGATTTCCACAACGAGGAACGGGACAAAGTACTTCAACTGCGCGATCTATTGAAAGAGCCAGAGTGGAGGGGCTGAGGGTACCTAGGATGCAAGGAGTTGGAGAGCAAACCGCTGAATGTTTTAGATGTCGGGAACAGGGACATGTAGCGAGAGATTGCAGTAATTGCTGACTATATGATAGTAAAAAAATAGCGACTCAGGTCAAGGCGTGCCGAGTATTAAGAGCCGGGGAGGTGTGTTCACGAGGAAAAATAAATGTACATGATGCAGGAGGAGATAATACATGATCCTTGTCCGAGGATCATGATAGATTTTAATGGGAATATGGTACCTATGCTTTTTGATACTGGGGCGGCTATTTCAGTGATGAGTTATGCTAGGTATAGGAGTATTTGGCCTGAGGAAATGATAACAAATGAGGGTTTGAGAATACGGCAGTTCGATGGGTCACAAGTGGCAGTAATGGGAAGAGTTGAAATAGAGGTGATGAGGGAAGGGGAGATGGAAATATTAGATTTATGGATCATTAATAGGAGGGTAGAAGCGATGCTGGGATGGGACTGGATCACACGAATTGGTCCATGGTATAGTTTTTGGGGAGTATTTTCATGGTGGGGGATATTTGTGCCCATGACTAGTGAGGATATATATTATGAGAGGGAGGTCGATGAAAATTTGGGAATATTGCCGGGAATAGAGAGTATTTTTTATCGGGAAAGAAATGGGGTTGAGGAACAAAGAGGAGAGATGAGGAGGGACGTGCGAAGTAGGGCTGTAGGGGTCAGAGAGGAGGAGGTAAGGAGAGATAATGTGAGTAGAGACTTTGGGGAGAATGGGAGGGAAAGAGGAGGAAGGAATAATTATATGAGAGGAATCAGGGCAAATAAATCTAAGGGGGAAATAGGAGCGAATAATTATTATTCTAAGGGGGAAACAGGGGCGAATAATTATAATTCTAAGGGGGAAATAGGGGCGAATAATTATAATTCTAACGGGGAAATAGGGGCGAACAATCATAATTCTAAGGGGGAAATAGGGGCGAATAATTATAATTCTAAGGGGGAAACAGGGGCGAATAATTATAATTCTAAGGGGGAAATAGGGGCGAAGAATTATAGGATAGAAATCGAGGCGGATAGTCATAGGGAAGCGGAGAGGGGTTATCGGGAAGGATTAGGGAAGTCGATTTATAATGGTCGTGAGAGGGAAGAAGAGAAGAAATGGGAGTGGACCGATATTCAGGATACTGTCGATCGAGCAATAATATATGGGAAAACAAGAGACGAGGAAATCGAGTCGCAGGAGGTGATGGAAAGGGAGAATCAGAAGAATGATCGAGAGTTTAGCAGTGAGGAATTAGAAGATGAATTGATCCGGGTGCAAGACGGAATACGGAGATTGGTGGATGTTTATCAAGAGATCTTTGATGAGGAGTTGGGCTGTCTGAAAGATTATGAAGTGGATATCAAATTAAAGGAGGGATGTGTACCGAAATTTTGCACGTTGCGGCGAGTACCATTTGAGTGGAGGAAGGAAGTGGAAGTTGAATTGGAGCAATGGGTACAAAAGGGCATCGTATGTGCTGTGGATTATAGTGAATGGGCGACTCCGTTGGTTCCCGTGAAGAGAGCCAATGGCCAACTCCGTTTATGTGCGGATTTTCGAGGGACGCTAAATCCCTGGGTAGTAGAGGTCAAGTATCCGTTACCCAGAATTGAAGAAATATTGGTCAATTTAAAGGGGAGTATATATTTTTCGAAAGTGGATTTTTCCAATGCATACTTACAGTTACGGGTGAGGCCGGAGGTAAGGAAATTATTGACTATTACGACCCCAAAAGGGTTATTTGCATTTTGTAGATTGCCGTTTGGATTGAGTGTATCCGCTCCTATCTTTCAGCGCACTATGGCGGTCGTTTTTCAAGGAATGGAAGGGGCAGCGTCTACATGACAGGATTTTCACTGGATGCAAACCCCCTTCAAAAATCTTGGCCTACCCCCCTAAAAAATTTTCGCCGCCTTCGGCGGTGATGTTTTTTTATTATTATTTTTACCTATTTATTTATTGATACTCTTTTAAAATAATTTATAAAGGATAACTTAAATTAATCTATCTCTACTACCAACTATCGATATTTTGTGAATATAAAGAATTTATTTTTTAGATAATAAATTTAATTAAAACCTCCATTATTTACAATGAATTAATTATTATGGCATTATGAGCTTGCTGAAATATCTAAACCTTTTAAATTATATTTAAAAGGATAGTTTATTTGGAAAACAATGTGTATGATTGTTTGCAATATATAGATTTGGTCGATGAATTGTATTATAATAATACTATAATAGTATTAATTTTTACAGCAATAAATTTTGTCTTATTTCATCTCAAAATTTAATAGATAACCCCCTAAAAAAATTTATCGTACCCCCATTAGCAGCTTACCCCCTACCCCCTCAAAAAAAATAGGATGCAAACTGTTCCTACCCCTCCCGCTCATGTAGACGCTGGGAAGAGGTATTCTATTACATGGATGATGTACTGGTGATGGGTAGAACTCCTGAGCAACACGAACAAAGATTGGAAGAGGTGTTCCGGAGGATCAAAGAAAAAGGTTTGCGAGCGAGTGCCGAAAAAAGTGTGTTAGGGGTGAAGGAGGTCGTATATTTGGGGCACAAAATTACGGGAAGGGAGGTGCGACCATTGGATAAAAATATGACCGGAATTACAAATATGTTGAGGCCTAGTAATAAATTAGAAGTCCAGGCATTTTTGGGAATGATGAATTACTATCACCGAATTGTCGAGGGATTCGCTCAGATCGCAGCGCCATTGTATACTCTGTTAAAAAAGGGAGAAAGATTTGACTGGAAAGAGGAGCAAGAGAATGCGTTTGAGGAATTGAAGTCTAGAATTGGAAGGGAACCCATTCTCATGTGCTTTAACAATGACCTGGGAGTGTTACTGGCCGTAGACGCGTCGACCAAGGGAGTAGGTGGGGCGTTATTGCATTATGGGGATGAAATAGAAAGACCGGTTTTATTCTTCTCGAGGATATTTAGGGCGGCGGAGACAAGGTATTCAGTGATCGAAAAAGAGGCGTTGGCGGTAATATTCGGATTGACCAAATGTAGGGAGTATCTGATTGGGCGTAGGTTTGTTATTTATACCGATCACAAACCTTTGGTGCATCTGTTCAGGAAAGATAACAAAGAGCTCATGTTGTCGCCAAGACTCCAACGATGGCTTTTGCTGGTAGGGAGCTTTGACGTACAGTTGAAATATCGGCGGGGAAGAGAAAATTATTTACCCGATATTCTGTCAAGATGTGGGGCGGGCGAAGAGGGAGATGAAGGTAAATTGAAAGAGATAGAGGAATCGAAGGAGCAGGGATTAATTAGAACGATGGTCAAAATAACCAAAGGAGGACCGGTAACGTGGGAGGAATTGAAAGGGGCCACCTTGAAAGATCCGGAATTGACCCGAGTCAAGGCATGCATAAAAGGGCGCAGATCTTGGCGAGACGGAGATAAATCTTACAAGTACATAGAAAAGGAATTAGCGATAGTAGATGACTGCGTGGTACGGGGGAATCGGTGTATAGTACCGTTCAGATTACGGGATGCGGTGTTGAAGATGATTCATGCCGGACATCAGGGCGTTGAGAAAATGAAACAGTGGGGTCGGGAGTATGTATGGTGGCCCGGAATGAATAAAGAAATTGAGGATATAACCAGAGGCTGTGAGATGTGTAATTTGTGGGCCCCGATGCCTCGCAGAGACAAGAAAAGTGTATGGCCCATGGCTACACGACCCTGGGAGCGCATACATGTTGATTTCTTCGACTTCGAAAACAAAATATATATTCTAGTGGTAGACGCTTTTTCCAAGTGGGTAGAATACGAGGAAGTGAGAGGATTGACAACTCAGGTTGTGGTAAAGATGCTGAAAAATCTGTGGGCTCGATTCGGAGTAGCTAAGATAATAGTTTCGGATGGAGGACCGACCTTCATAAGTGGACAATTCAAGTCTTTTTGTGCGAAAATAGGGCGAGACGCCACCATATCATCCGAGCTCGAACGGTCAAGCGGAACGAATGGTGTCGATTGTCAAAAATTGGTTAAGAAAATCAAAGTATGCAGGTGGGGAAATTTGGGTAGCAGTAGCTTATTACAACAACTGTCGAAAGGGAGAGGAACAATCTCCGGCAGAAAGGTTTTTGGGGAGACGAACCAGAATATTACTGGATTTATTAAAACGGGACACGAATCAAGAAGTGGAAGAGGAGAAAATTGAGATGTTGGAATTCATAGTGGGTCAAACCGTGTGGGCTAGAGTATATGGAACTACCAGGAAATGGGAATCCGGGAGGATCGTGGAAAACATTGGGAACAAGTTAAGTCTAGTAAGGTTCGCCGATGGAAGAGAGGGAGTACGACATCGGGATCAGTTGAAAAGAGGTGTGGAGCCCGGAAGATTTTGATCGGGGGTATGAAGTTAGGCGATATATTATCGAAAATGAGTGAAAAGAAATACATGTATAAAAGAATTTGAAATTTAAAAGGAAGATTTAATAGGTATCGGGATATAATATATTTTATGGTGCTCAAGTTGGGCAGGGAAATAATTGCTCTATTATAGCGCTCAATATATGCGTGCAATGGAATGGGTATCCCAAAAGAAGCCCGAAATAAGTACTGGAGCTTTTATAATGTCTCAGTAGAATAATAATTATTATATGGAAAAATATCTGGGAAAACATTTATCGGAAAGGAAGATTTAATAGATATCGGGATGTAATGTATTTTATAGTGCTCAAGTTGGGCGGGGAAATAATTGCTCTATTATAGCGCTCAATATATACCTGCAATGGAATAGGTATCCTGGAAGAAGCCCGGAATAAATTTGGGAAATCGTTATCTGCAGGGAGATTTAATAGGTATCGGGATGTAATATATTTTATAGTGCTCAATTTGGGCAGGGAAAATATGTTCTATGTTAACGCGCAATATATACCAAGCTGTGAAAATAACGCCGTCTAATAGCGTGTTAAAAAAAAGAAGAAGATAAATTTATAAATGGGCTCATTAAAGGAGATGAGTTGGGGAAGCAGGTGGAAAAAGTTATAATAAAAAAATAAAATAAAGATAAAAATTTGCGAAGAAAG